TTTTTTTTTTTTTACATAAAGCAAAATTTCCTTTAGAAAAGATGTCTCACTAGAAAGTGTATAACTGCAGATTCTAAGGTAATCTGTTTAGACATACGCAGTGCTATTTAGTGATGTGTTTCTTAGGCCATAATGGTTTTTCTGTTTGTGAAAAGGTTTTTCTAATTATAAACAGGTAATAAAGATACATGATGAGCAGAAGTCTATAGTGACTGTGCATCCTTAACATTTTTGTCATTGCCTTTACTGTAAATTTCATGTTTTCAGGTTCCTAGTGGTAACCCTGGAGATTATTGTTGTTGTAGCAATTTAGTTCAGATTAATAGCAATTTCATTTGAGCAGTATATAAAACCTTGCTATTATATAGCTTCCTGTCTTTTTTTCTTTTTTTTCTCCTTTTTTTTTTGAGAGAGAGTTTTGTTGTATAGTACAGGTTGGCCTTGAAATCACTGTGTAGCACAGGCTGGCCTCGAACTTGTGGCAATCCTGCTGCTTCAGCCCCAAGTGCCGGGATTACAGGTGTACACCACCATGCCAGGCTCCTACCCACTTTCGCATGAAAAATTATCTGTAAATCTTAGTGAGGATCCCTGTGTGTGTGATGAGTCAGTTCTTGCTCTTCTTTGTCCTTCAGTTTGATCATGATGCATCTAGGTATGGCTAAATCTCGGGGTTTATCGTGGAGTTTGTTGAGTTTCTTAGAGGTATAGATTCTTGCCTCATCAAATACTGTCTTCAAGCAATCTTCCTCTTTGTCCTCCTCTGAGACATCTTGGGTGTGATGGTATCTAATGGGTTTCTCAGCCTTAGTTCATTTTTCTTTATTCTTTTTTTTTTTTTTCTGGTCCTTTGCCTGGATGATCCCATTAACCCATCTTCAAATTTGCTGTTCTTCTTCCTGATGAAATCTGTCGCTGTGCCTTTTTAGATACACTTTCTCAGCTCCAGAAATTCTTTTTTATGATTTCTGTATATTGAGTTACTGTTTGGCAGGACATTATTTATGCTCTCCCTTGGTTTTTGTCTGAGTTACCTTCTTGTTGCTGAGACCGAATACCCTAAACCCACGACTTAAAGGAGAAGTTTATTTTGGCTCGCAGTATGTAGAACTTTCACTCACAGTCTGCTAACTCTAGGGCACAAGTGGCCTAGAAGGGCCTAAATGAAGGGAAACTGCTTACACAGTGGCAGCCAGAAGACAGGGCCAAGGGAGGAGCCAGGAAGGGAGATAAACCCTTCCAGGTCATTTATACAGTGACACACCTCTTTTCTTTCTTTTCTTTTTTTTTTTTGGTATTGGGAATCAAACTCAGGACCTTGCACTTGCCAAGCAGACCATCGTACCTCATAATAGCCAGTTATCTATAACATCCCCTTAAAGCAGTCACCTTTCCAAAGCCCCTTCTTGGAATGTCTGAGGCTCTTGGGGGACATCTAGATATAGCAATTACTTAGATATGGTTTCCTTTAGCTCTTTGAACACATTTGAAATAGGTGATTTAAAACCTTTGTCTGAGCTGGGAGCTGACATGGTGGCTCAAGACTATAACCCCAGCACTCAAGAGGCTGAGGCAAGAGGATCAATGTTAGTTCAAGACAAGCCTGGGCTACATAGCACGCCCCTGCTCTTAATTAATGAATTAAATAAAATCAAATCTTTGTCTATCCTGGCATGATAGAGCATGCCAGTGGGTGCTACTTAGGAGGATAAGGCAGGAAGATGACAAGCTTGAAGCCAGCTTGATAGCTTATCAGGGCTATCTCCAAAAACAAAAGGAAGGGACTGTAGCTCAGCGGTAGTGTATCCTGGTTTCCACCCTTAGAGGGAGGGAATGGACTCTTTAGGTCCCCATACGAGCTTCTTCAAGGGTAATTTACATTGGCCACTTTTTTCATGTATACAAACCATACTTCTTTCTTTGCAAGTCTCTTTTTCTTTCTTTTTAAATGGTAGAAAATTGGACATTTAAATATTAGGATATGATTTCCCTGCTGCTGTTTGTTGCATATTGACTGACTTTAGTCAATCTCTGCACAGCGTCTGTTTCTTGTTGCATATGGCCACTGAAATCCCCGTTCCATTAGCTTATTCGTTGGCTAATTACTGGACAGGGATTTCTGAAAATGCTACCCCACCAAGTGTTGCATCTTTGCAGAGGGGCTGTATGTGCCTTGGGACACACCTTCACTTGGCCAGGAGGTTCACATCTCTGTTCCAGTTTCACCTCCTTTTTGGGCTGAGTCTCAAGGTCAGCCACAGGTCAGAGTTCAGGGCCTTGTCAAGTCTTTCCTAGGCAAGCAGACGGCCTTATTGATTCCCAGGTTAATACTGGAGCTTTCCATAGTCCCTGGGAAGCTCTTATGGTTAGTCTGTTTTATTCTCAACTCCTATCAAGTCACAGGCAGTGAAGGCCAAAGAACAATTGCCTTGAATAGACTTTACTGGGTGCCTTAAAGAAAGGAACTTTCTGCAGTGGGTGAGCTCAGGTCAGTACAAATAGGGCCTGCCTTGCAGGTGGGTGTTCAGAAACCACCGGACAGGGCAAATCATTGTTGTTCCCTGGGACACGGGGATGTGAGGTTTCCATAAGCAAGCTCCAGTTCCATCCTGTTCCTGTTCTGTGGCGGCTGCCAGACTGGTACTTTGATCTTTGTTACTTTTTTTACTTTGATCTTAGTATGCCACTGTACTAGGAAGTGAACTGAGGACCTTTGCACTGAGCCACATCCTCAGTCCTTTTTTTGTTTTGAGACAGGTTCTCGCTGAGTCTCCCAAGCTAGGGTCAAACTTGCACTTTTCTCAGCCTCCCAAGTGCTAGGATTATAGATGAGTGCCACCAGAAGCCTGCTTTTCTTAGGAAGAGATACAATTTCTCCTGAATAAACACTTTCCAGTTACTACAACCCTTTTAATTAACATTCTGAAAATGTTAGTTCTGACAATATTTGCTGTTTGGTTTTTTGTTTTTTTTTTTTCATTCCTTGTATAGAAGTTTTTGGGGTTTTTTTGCTTCAAATAATTTTTAAGTTCCTATTCTGTCTTGTCCCCATTAACTATTCCACTGAGATACTTGCTAAATTCTTTCATTTAGTTCCTGCCATCTGTATTCATTACCCTCTTCCCAGATAGAGTGGGGCTTTTGGTTCTCCTCTACACAGGACAAAATACCTCCACCTGTACCCTAGAGCAAATGTTATGTGTGTTTTATTATCTGCTAGACAGTATGAGTCATTTTAACTCGATTGCTGGTTCAGGACAGCTGGGAAAGCAATGTGATTTTGATGTTTTCTAGCTGGGGTGGAAAACACCTGCCCAGTTCTCAGAGCTAATCTATTAGCTAAAAAAGAAAGGCAAGCTTTATGGCCTTCTGAGTTGGCCTACTCTCAGTTCCTCCTTTCCAGCCCTATTCTTGAAAACCAACACAGCTGGGCATGGCTGGAATTCCCTGCATGCCTACAGTCACACCTATAACCCCACCACTCTTGGAGACCTAGAGTGATGAGGACCGCAGTGATGAGGACCGCGCTGGGCTGTGACCGGCTGGGTGGGGTGCGCCATGGAAATGCAGAGCAGTGGCCAGCCATGCTGCTGGGGACCACCTTGTCCAGAAGTCACATTTCCACAGGCAGGGGGCAGGGTCCAGCTGCCTGGAGGTTGCCTGCTGCCTCCCTGGGCTCTGCGAGGCCACGGGACCTCAATCTGTTCCTGGGGGAACACAATAGAAGTGTGCCCATTGCCACAGCCACCAGGGAGCCTCAGCGACTTCCATGTCATCCAGCTCCTCTGCCACACATGCTCTGTCCCAGGGACCCGCACGTGATGGGGCAGCCAGAGCATACCTGTGGAGGACCAGTGATGGGAGCTGGCACTCCCCGTAGTGACAGGAGACCCCAGCTGACTTCTTTGCAACAACTGATAAGCTAGTCTGTCTGGCATGAATCATTTCTTCCCTTTCCCTCATCGTGGCAGGTGCTGTGAAAGCTTGACCCACTCTTAGGCCTCACTTGCCATTCGATCCCCAGGAGATGATCTAGAAGTGTTTGGAGGCCCTCATTCTGCCATCTTCCCTGATGTCATCCCTATGTAGCTTTTACTGAGTGTCATGTTGAGGGTTGCCACAGATGGTGTGACATCTATAATGATGTGCACAATCATTATTTTATTCTCTGGTCATATGTTCTTAGCCATTTGTTGAAGAAAAAAGTTGTGTTTTTATTCATTCAAACCAAGTGCATCTGGATGACCTAAGCAGGGAGGGCATGGTTGAGCTCTAGCTTCCTTCCTTGGCAGAGGGTTTATAAACCAAGAGTGCTAGAGTCAGGGGTCATTCCTAGGCATGCAGAGTAACCTAGACCCCCTTGTTTAAGGGGAGTAGGACACAAGGTAGGAACTGAGGGGCTGGTGTCTTAACATTTCCTAGGATAGGACAGGTCCAGAAGGAAAACAGTGGGATGGGCTCTCGCAGGGTCCATGGTGGGGAGTTGGGAGAATCCCAAGGTGTGGTGCAGCCAGAGGCTCCTGAAGGTTGCATGGGCTGCCAGGTATCAGGAGCAGAACACAGGAAATCCTGAGTGTTTGTGTGGCAGAGCTGCTGACTTATGCATGGAAGGCGCACACCTCTCCCGGCTGTGGTCTGTATGGGAGAGTAGGGACATAAGGTCTGTGTGTGGGGTGTGGTAGAGGGTGGTTGGCTGCACACCCCACTGTGGAAGGGCCAGGTGTGTTGTCTGGGCTGTCCGCAGGACCCAACTGGAGAGGCTGCCCTGTACCAAGAAACAAGTTCAGAATGACTGCAGTGTGAAACTCTTGACTCCGCCTTATCTTTTAGCCATGCTATTGACACACATTGACCACACAGAACTGCACTTCCCATAGTGTGTGGCTTAGAATTGTCTTAGCTCTGAGATTAAGAATAGCTCCCTCAGGACTACCCTTGTCCCCTGCCAGTCCCCAGTGGTACTCACTTTCCTGATTTCTAACAGCTTAGTTCTGTTTTTAATTTGAAGTCAGTCTTCTGACTTGTTTATTGAATTGATTCAAAACACATGTGGCCATTCACACATTCATTCCTTCTCATGCCTACGCAGTGTTCCGCTGTCCCAGTATCTTTGTGAGTATCTGGGCTGTTTTCAGCTTTGGCTACCATGGAGAAAGTTGTCCCGAGCAGTCTCAAGTGGATCTTTGGTGAGCAGGGGTGGGGATTTCTGAGTGGAGCCCAACACCAGGTCACAGGTGTACCCACAGTTAAGGTTAGGAGATGCCCATAGAGAAATTTACAAGGTGGCTATATCAGTTTCATTCCCATTGTTTTAAGATTTTCACTTATCCTCATCCTTGTAATTGTAAACATATGATTTTGTGTTCCCTTTATGATTAACATCGGGCCATGTTCATATGCTTAGCCATTTGCACCTCCTCTTGTCCCACTTCAGTGCAATCACTGACCCTGTTCTCTTTTCCCGTTTGATTAGGCAACTTAATAAAGACACGGGCGGCAGAAATGGAAAAGCAGGCCACTTCCTCTTCACCAAAGACTAAGGGGGAAGAAAAAAGGGTCGTGTCTGTTTCCAGGCTCCGAGAGGCCTTTTCCCTTCGTCACGACACAGAGATCAAGTCTCAGGGCCTGGAGACTGCAGATTTGAGGTGGCCCTCTCCGAGACAGAAGGGAGGCGCACCATCTTTTGGCACTTCACATCCCATCTCTGGCAGGGGTTTGCAGGACCCTCAGGAAGCAGTGACAAGTCCCAAGAAGTGCCCTGGTGATTCTGTGGACAGAGCAGAAACAGAGAAGGACTCAGGGCATAGCAGCACCCCAGCTGACTCTGAGGAAGGGTTCAGCACCCCAGAAACTAGAAGTCACTGCAGCAGTGACCAGGCAGCGAGCTCCCCGGAAGATGGATTTCCACGGGACAGTGAGGACTCTTGTGAGCAACTACTCAAAACTGACCAGCCCCCTTCCAACACGAAATGTCATTTAGACCAAGAAGATGTTGGATATAAATGTAGAGCTTTGCCTGTGCAGATTGATTGCTCATCCTCAAACGTCAAGCGTTTTAGAAAGGAAGAAATTTCTTCAACTGCTGACATTCCTCAAAAGTTAGTTGATACTCAGAACATGTCAGTGACTCAGGTTGATGTAGCTGTTAAAATTAGTAAAAAAATAGTGCCCCTTACCTTTTCTATGAGAATTTTAGCTAAACGAGTAAATGAGTTACATCACCAAAAACACCAGAATGAAGGTGAACAGAATTACAGGAAATTTAGGGCAAAGATTTGCCCTGGAGAAAACCAAGCAGCAGAAGATGAACTAAGGAAGGAGATCAGGTAAAGTTTGTTCTGAGTGATATTTTGGCCACACCGGTGATGAGTTCGTATGAGTGAACCAGAGGCTAATCCTTAAAAACTGAGCCTTGGGTGTTACTGTTCTGTGGTGCTGAGGATTGAATATGGCCTTCACACTGAATTACATCCCCAGCCCTTTATTGCTTTTTATTTTGAGGTAGTCTCACTAAGTTTCCTTGGCTGGGCTAGAATTTGTGATCCTCTCTCTCAGCCTCCCAGAGTGCCAGGCTGACAGGCACATGCCGACACCCCAGCTCTCTTGGTGTCTTTGCCTGTCTTCCTTCACCCTCCACTTAAATGGCATCTCCTGTACCACGTGGCTCTTGGTTTTCAGCGTGGCCCTCTCAGCACTAAAATGGGTCACCATGATTCTGTCCCTTCAGGACAGGCCTGGGGTGGGGGGCCTTCCCTGCTGCGCAGACCCCATCCCTTCCTGATGGCCTTGCCAGCCTCTGCCTTCCTCTTCATTGCCCCACAGATTCTAATGTTTGGATTGGGTTGAACTCCTCAAAGTGTTGGTTAGCTTTGCCAGCACGTCCTTGCCAGTGCTTTTTCTTTTGCCCACTTCTCTGCCTCTCACATATGGGAAGGCCTCTCTTTTACCATGCTCTTCTGCTTGAAAACATTCAAGATTGTTCTGCCCTAGATTTTCCCAGAGTATCTTTTCTAAATTCAAATTAAGCATGGGCTTCTTGACCCCAGTTTTATCACTCTTTCTGGAAGTTTTTCAGCCCTCAGGGACTTCCAGGAATTGAATTTATGGCAGTTTTGGTAGCCGTCACCATTTCCCATCTTTCACTTTAAGGTGCAGAGCACTAGGGGTGGCACATGCCTGTCATCCCTGCCTTCTAGGAGCTGTGGCAAGAGAATCACAAGTTCCAGCACAGCCAAAGCAAGTTAGCCAGGGTTCAAATAAACCAAGCTACAAAGTTTTGTTTCTTTTCCATTGTTTGTTTCAGGCACATGCTGGTTTGTTTGTTTTATATGCTGAACCCAGAGCCTTCACAATAAGTTATATACTTGGGCCTTTATTTATTTTTCTTTCTCTCCTGAGTCAGAGTTTTGCTAAGTCACTAAATTGGCCAGGATAGGCCTGAACTTATACTCCTACTGTGTTATCCTCCGAGAATGGTGGGATTTCAGTTGTGTGCTACCATGCCTGGCACAGGTACTTTTTTTCCGTAGGAGACAGATCTACCAAATACACCGACAACATGCATCTTTCGTCCAGCACGGGTTTTTTCCAAAGGTCATGCTGCTGGGCAGCCAGAGCAGATTCAGATGGTTCTGGAAAAGATGGAATCAGAGCCCCAGGAGGTGGTCACTCTGGCAGTCTCCAGTTGAATGGCTGGCGGTTCTGCATGCGCCCATCTGCAACTGTGTGCTGCTTGTGCACTGCTAGATTTGGAGATGCACCAAAGTGTGCAGGAGAGCTTTGCATGACAAAGCAGGGCTGCCGTCCTGGGTTCTAGGTCCTCTTTTCTTTCACAGTGCAGTCACCAGGAGGAGCCCTTGTGTGTGGTGCAGCCCAGTCATTCTGCATCCATAGGGTGTAGCTGCTCCTGCTGTGGTGGAGCTTGGAATGTGGGCTCCAAAGTGGGCCTGCTCCATTATCTCTAGAGAAAGCAGCTACCCTGCATGTGTTGTTTTCATACTTCTTAATTCAGTAATTTGCCATCATTTTATGGATTCATAACCACAGTGTACATTGTCCTGTTGCCATCTGTGACTTTGTCTCTTGATTGGACTCTAACTAAGGGAACTGGCATCTAGAATGGTCTCAGCAGACAGATCCTCCAGGCAGGATTTGGGGATTGGCTTGGTATGATGTAGAATTAAACTCAGTGCTGAGCCCTGTACCTCAAGAAATAGAGGGCTAGTGCCCATGGCATGCAGAGGGTCTGCAGCTAATTCACAGTCCCCTGTGGGTGACCACGATGAGGTACCAACGTACCTCCAGCTCCCAAGCCCCAGTAGTCGCACAGGAGTGACAATCACCAGGTGGGTAGGTCTTCCTCCGTGCTCTGGAGCACTTTCAAAAGTCCAGACTTGGCTCCTTTCATTCTGTTTCTCAGTCCCCTGGCACCACTAACAGCAATAGCCAATAGCCAGCCAAGGGGCTGGCACTGAGGAAAAACTGTTTTCACAAAATCTTATTGGGAAAAAAAATTTTTTTTTTATTGCGTAGATTTTAGGGCTACCATATTGATTTTTATGTGGAAGTTGACATGATATCTGTCTCGTTTGCATTGACCTCTGCAGTGTTTAAAAGTACTTTTGTATGTTGTTAGTAGGAGTACAGACTTTTATAGATTTATATCCCAAAAAGTATATAATTCTACCTCTAGAGATTTATCTCACAGACACATTCCCACAAGTGAGCAGGTTTTCTTGCAGCTTTGTACGTATTACTCAAGTTGGAAACAATGAGATGTCCTTCAGTAGAGAACTGGTCAGACAAATTGTGGTCCATCCATGCAATGAATTCTCATAGGGCCATTATAAAGAGTAGGATGTCTTACCTACTGTAGCCACAGAGCCGAGGCTGGTAAAATTACGTGTAGAGTCTCATCCTGCAATTGGCTGAATTATAATGCAGGTACTGTCCTAGCCCAGTGGAGGCAAGCCTGGGCCACACATGCTGCAACCAGCTGTTTGTATTGTTGAAAGCTGTTAACAGTTCACCATCACTGTCATAGCCTCTCTTGATACCTACTAGTAAGAAAGAAAGAAAAGATATCTAGAGAAAAAACTTCTATCTGCTTAAAAAAAAAAAAAAAATACATATTTTGGGGGGGGGTTGAACTCAGGCCCTTGCAGTTGCCAGGGAAGCGCTTATTCCACTGAGCCATCTCCAGCCCCAATCCCCCTGTCTTGAACCAGCAGTGGTACGTGCATGACTGTCTCACTGGCAGATGGCTTATATCATCTGAGGGACTGTCCTACACTGCCCACTAAGACATGCATATATCTGTCATCAGTGGTTCAGAGCTGCCCCGGCAGTGAGATATAAATTACAGCCCTGTTATGAAGATGTTAATATTAACGGTTGGGGCCTTTGGAGAAGTGTTGAAGAGTGGTAAGTGGATTGAATTAAATGAGGTGCCCTAGTGCATTCGCTCTTCCACCTTCTGCCATGTATGGACAATGGACAAGGCAAATTGGAAGCAAGGAGGGCAGCCCTCACCAGATGCTAAATCTGCCAGTGCCCAGTTCTTGGAGTTTTTATCCTCCAGATCTGTGATAGATAAATTTGTTTTTTATTTGAAAAAATAAAATACGTATACAGTATCTATGATGTGTTAAGTGATACAAGTATAGTGGTGTGAAGAATTAAAGTTTCATTTTCTTTTTTTAAATAAAATGTACAAGCAAGGTATATCTGTATATACCTGGCTATATATGTATGTGTATACACACACATACATGTATTCACACATACATATGTATCTGGTTGATAATAGTAATAACGTTATCTTTGGCGAGTTGGATGGATGATTGGAAAGTGGGATTGTATGTATTGGTTGATTTTTTTTTTTAATGGTCTATTTTATAATCAGAAGAATAGTCTATTTACTTAAGATTATTGGTATACTTTAGGTATATAATGATCACATTTATCATAGGGAATTGGTACCTGTACATGACATGTCTTGGTTCAGAAGAATGATCTTTGAAAGTATCTTTCAATTAATGTTTTCTGCTCTCAGTAAAACGATGTTTGCAGAAATGGAGATCCTTGGCCAGTTTAATTTGGGGTTCATAGTAACCAAGCTGAAAGAGGACATCTTCCTGGTAGACCAGCATGCCGCAGACGAGAAGTACAACTTCGAGATGCTGCAGCAACACACTGTGCTCCAGGCGCAGAGGCTCATCTCGTAAGTTCACGGTGCGCGGAATTTTCACTGCTATTTCCCAAGTTCCTCCTAATTGAAAACTGAAGTGCTATATGTGTGTGTCTTTGTGACTACTTACATATCTTTTATTCCGTAAGTACCTGTAGAGCAAGGTTTAATTTATTGTGCTGTATGTGGTTGAACTTGGGGCTTTCACACTAAGCTACAAACCCACCCCTATTTTTCATTTTGAGACAGATTCTTGCTAAGTCACTAAGTTGCCCGCACTAATTCATACTTGTAAGTCTTCCTGCATCAGCCTCCCAGATGCTGGATTACAGGTGTGCCCAAGACACCTGGCTCCATACAGCAAACTTTTGTGCTTTTTACACATTAGTGATCAGTTATGATTTACTGAGTACTTACTGTGTGCCTGGCACTGTTGAAAAAATTTACAGGTATTAGCTCATTTAATCTTCATACACCTGCTAGTTTTTATCGTTGCCGTTGCCATCTCACAGATAATAAAGCTGAGGCACAGGACAGTTGAAGAACTTATCCACTGTGTTCTTTGAGAATTGAATGTTTTTAGGTGTTTAAAAATGTTGCTTACCAGTCCAGAAAATCCAGTTGGTGGTGAAGAGAACTGGGGCACAGTTATGTGGTATTTGTATTTATAGTATGTAGATGGACATCAGAGAGGCAACCCAGCCTGCAGGTCGGTCTGTGCATCTGTCACAGAGCAGCTTCCACGGGGGATAGGCCACGCAAAGCCTGCCATCCCTCCCTTTGTCAAATTGGATGCTTTCACTGACTTTGTTCAAGGGGACATGGTGGTATATCATGTAAACCTGAAGTCTTAAAAGTTAGAAATCCAAGCATTGTGGTCCATACCTGTAATCTAATACTTCAGGGGGTGAAGGTGGGGGACCAAGAGTTTGGACTCAGCCTCAGCAACTTGATGAGACCTTGTCTCTAAAAATAAAAATTAAAAAAGGGTTGAGGATGTAGCTCAATTATAGAGCTCTAAGTACTATGCATGTGTGCACATGGACGAACACACACTTGTGAGAGGATGTTACGAATTTTCATTGGGTGGAACTAAAGTATGCGAAGAAATAGACTACAGTGGATATAGATCTGGCCCTAGAGAAATACTCCACTAGGTAGTTACTCAGCTGGGAAAATATGTTTGTTTACTCTGTTTCCTGCAGATGTTTTCATTGAGTTCATTTTTATTTGGGAATAAATGGTAATAAAGCCATTTGGCAAACTACTTTCTAACACTGAAATATTGCTGCCTTTCGCAGAGATTTCTTTCTTAGTCATATTGCATAAATAAGGTCTCATATACTGTGTTTCAAGTTGACTCAGGCAATTACAGGCCACTTTGGGTCCCAGATGGGCTATATGTCAAGATTAAAGGATAAAGACTAAAATTCCACCCTGGCCGACAGCCTTGTGTAGTTTGGCACATTGACTCCCTTCGCATTTCTAAAACCCTTGTATCTTTATCCTCTACACTTTAGCTGCTAGGGCCATTAAGAATGAAATATATATTTTATGTGTGGTGCTAGGAACATCAGTAGTCCATTGGAGGGAGCGATTTTGAAAAAGTTATTTCTGCTCAGAGTACTCATGTACTTTTTTTTCTTTTCTTTTTTAATGTATTTGATACAGGATCTCACTATGCAGCTTGGACTTGTAGTGAGCCTCCTGTTTTCAGTCTCCCCAGTGCTGGGATTACAGGTGTATGCCACCATGCCCAGACTCAGTGGCCAGCTCAGTGTGCCTGGGGGTGGGGCCAGCATGGCATGCAGTGCCAGGGATTGAACTCAGGTCCCTGTGCTTGCCTAAGCAGGTGCCTAGTCCACTGAGCTATCTTGCCTGCCCTAACTTGCACCGATTATCTAAGTTGCTGTCTTATTCCCAGAGCTCAGTTCAGAGTTCTCCTGGGGGAGAGGGTAATTGCCCTTTCTTGTTCCCAGGATCAAATTTCGCTTGTACAAGTATGCTCCTACTGCACTGGTGGTGTGACTCCTGATTGTCATTTCTAGTAGTCTTAATGGATTTTCTACTACTTTTAACTGAGTTGACTTTTCAGTATTTTTCCCACAAATTGAGGGTAGATACTTAAATCTGATTTTGCTCACTTTACCATCTGCTTTTATCAGTGCTTTTCTTAGCCTTCCATAAAGATATTAGGGAAGTGGATGGAGCACCCCATGCAGGCAGAGGAAGGAGCAGGATAGTAAAATACTTGTTCTCTAGTCAGTGTTTTCAAGTGTCAGTAATAAGCTAACCCAGCTTTTCAATGTAGCTTTATTGTAAAGAGGAAGAACAGCATTTTGGTACATTGTTATCCTTTGGAGAGGATGTAAAGGAAGACCACGTCATTAATGGAATATCAGATTGAGAAGAAAGCAAACTACTCTTAAAAGGAATCTGGCTGGGTATTGTGGCACGTGCCTATAATTCCAGCACTCAAAAGGCTGAGGCAGGAAGATCGTTGTGAGTACAAGATGAGCCTGGGCTATAAAGTGAGCTCAAGGCTAGGCTGAACTGCATAGTGAGACCCTGTGTCAAAAAGACAGAAAAAAAAAGTCTTATAAAAAAAAGAAAATCAAAGGCAAATCTTGACACTCACCTGAATACTAGAAAGGCATAGAACTGAAAAGTGATATTCATGTTGTATTTTTTAAATGGTTTTAAAGTATCATAGTATCACTTCACTTTTCATTTCTTCTTTAAAGGTAAATGATTTCAAGTTGTAGTTTGAATCTTTTATTTTTCAGACCTCAGACTCTCAATTTAACTGCTGTCAATGAAGCTGTTCTGATAGAAAATTTGGAAATATTCAGAAAGAATGGCTTTGATTTTATCATTGATGAAAGTGGTAAGTTATTGACTAGGGCTATAGAATTGTCTTTTGAGAGCTAAGAATCTTTAGGGTCCTATAGGCCTATCTCTTCATAAGAGGTGAACAAAGTCCTCCCAGGAAGCATTTCGGGGCTGCCTCTCCTTCAGAAGTTCATTATAAATAGCACTCAAGGGACACAGTTCTTACATAACAGACTTTTCTCAAAATGTTACTCTTTGTAGCTCCAGTCACCCAAAGGGCTAAGCTGATTTCCTTGCCAACTAGTAAAAACTGGACTTTTGGACCCCAAGATATAGATGAACTGATCTTCATGCTAACTGACAGCCCTGGGGTCATGTGCCGGCCCTCCCGAGTCAGGCAGATGTTTGCCTCCAGAGCCTGCCGGAAGTCTGTAAGTAGAACGAGCCCAGCTGCTGGGCCTGCAGGTCTGCTCATGCTTGTAGTCCAGGGAGGTTCTCAGTTCAGCTCCTGATTTGGTCTGGAGCCTCCATGATTGCTGTGGGTCATTTCATATAGAGAGCCACATAGTCTCTTGTCAGTAAAATGTAGCAGCTGGTAGGTCTGCATTATCTTCAACATCTAACTCATCCTTACTGCTTGTTACTTCAGTGAAGTGGTCCATTCAGCTTTCAGCTATCCCTGCACAATGAGGTCTATGTACGCCGGGTTCATCCCGGCCCTTATGGGTAGTACTCAGCATTGGTCAAGCAAGATTACACACTCCCACAGGGTCAGTGAGCAGGTGTCCTATGGGGGCTGTGGGAGGGCATCAGTGTTGTGTTCCTGCCACCATTCAGATTGGTGGTGGAAAGTGGTAGCAAAGGCTGGCTGTTGACCTAATGTCCTTTAAAGTAAGTGATTCTATCACCGGACCACATTTCTTTCTTCATTTGACAGACATTTCTTGAGCTCCCATGGTATAGCTTGCCCTGTTCCAGTTAAGGAAATGGACAGTTGAGGTTCTTGCCCAGGTGGAGCTAGTAGTTTAGTAGGGGGAAGTAGACCTAAACAAAAATAAAGGACACTTCAGAGGCCACCTAGTAAAGAAAGTTAAACAGCACATTGGGGTAGGGAGTGACCATAGGAGAATGAGGGGAATGGGGAGGGGAGGCGGGGTGAGAGCAGCTAGGCATGGTGGCGTACACCTGTAATCGCAGTGTTCAGGGGACTGAAGCAATAGGGTTGCTTCAAGTTCAAGGCCAGTCTGAACTACATAGCAAGATCCTGTTTTAAAACGAAAGCACCCCAGACCTGACTTGCAGGCACAGATATTTGATGAAGATCTCTTATATGCCTTCCAGTCTTGGAGTCTGAGTGGGCGTCAGAGCAGGGGGATGGGGTGGCCATTCCTTGTAGCCGAGGGCTTTAGCATTCTCTGTCTTGTTGACTCAGAGGGCTGTGGAGCTGCAGCTGTTCTTCCCCTCCCATCCTACTTCAGTTCTTCCTGTCTGCTCCCTCCTGGGCTCTCCTGTGTCCTACCCCTTATGTTCTGCTCCAGGCATGCCAGCTGCCGCTATCTAAGCCCTCATCTCCTACCTGCCTTACACCTTTTCTGCTGCTGTTCTCCTCTGGACCCATCACCTCTGTTCCTCTCATGTCTGGCTTCCTCCTGGCCTCACCCTCTGCCTCCGTGTGTGATGCTTGTCTTGCTCTCCAGTGGGGCAGGGGCAGGGCCCTCCTAACTGCAGCCTTAGAACTGTGCTGGTGCCTGGTGCTATAGGAGGGAGGATGGTAGCCAGTGGGTTTAGGCTTGTCTCCCTGCATCTATACCTAGTGTCACAGCATCCGGGTCTGTGTTGTGTTGCCTGTTCCTCTCCATACATATGTCAAAGAATAGGGCTGGGGCGAAGAATAGATGGGCTGAGACCTTTGAGCAAGAGCCCTAGGGGGTTGGGAGTGTGGCCCAGGGACAGCCAAGTCCATGGTCCATGAGGAACAGATAGTACTACTGTGGCTCAAAGGGGCTATGGGTGCTGGGAGACACAGGCATAAAGCCACTGAGGATGCATCGTCAGGTAATGGGAGCAAGGGAAGAGCGCGGCTGTGAGCCTTTAGCAAGCATGTTGGCTGCTGAGCATGCAGAGCATGTTGGGCTGCTGCTGCTGGTGGATGCAGATGAGAGGTGCCAGAGCTGTTGCAAGCACTTGGCTTCTGTGCAGGTCCAGTTGGCATCTGCCGGAAGAGGTAGCCCGAGTCCACAGAAAGGTGGGCTGGGAGGTTTTAGAGAAGGGTGCTGAGCTACCGTAGTCTTGTCCAGTCTTAGAGAAGAGTGCTTCTGAAGAGCACTTTAAAACTAAACCTCACTGTCTCATACCCAGGTGATGATTGGAACTGCTCTGAACACAAGCGAGATGAAGAAGCTTATTGTCCACATGGGCGAGATGGACCACCCCTGGAACTGTCCCCACGGAAGGCCAACCATGAGACACATTGCCAATCTGGAAGTCATTTCTCAGAATTGACACTTCTCACTTCCCAGAAGTAGAAATTTTATTGCAGACTTTTCTGTTTTGAAAGGCAGGATCTGAAGTAACCTTTTCTTTTTGTTTCAAAATTAACCTGCTACTTAAAAAAAAATACCAGATCAATTTTAAAATGATATTAAACTGGATGCAGTGGTTTGTGCCAGTTGGGAGGCTGCATCGGGAGGAACACTGTAGCCCAAGAGATCCCAACCATTGAGGGCAGCATAGCGAGAGTCCGCCTTAGATAAGGTCTTGAACATTTTTTTCAAACCATGTGAAGCATTGCTTAAAACAGTTCTTATTCCCTGCGGGTGTGTGTGCGTGTGTGTGTATGCACGCGCATGCGCACATGTACAGGCAACAACATGTTTTAAAAATAAAAGAGCACTTTGGAAGTTACCCAGGCCTCTCCTCTGGCTGGAAGTATTTTATTCTGCAACTTCTAATTTTCAATGATAAATTCATATTGGTTTAATTTCATAAATTTAAAGATATCCTTTTGGGTTAGTGCTTGTCAACCCTGATGAATATTAAATTTCAGAAAAGAATAATTTTTTAAAATCTAAAGGGTTTCTTGGCTCAGTTGGAAGAAGGTGACTGGATGAGCCTGCAGTCCTAGCACAGCAGGGTAGAAAGAGCTTTTCTAATCAGGAAAGAAGATACTGGCTTCTCTGTAACTTCATGCTACAATGTGGTTTCCTTGGGGTGTGATCTGTAGGAATCTTGTCTAATTTGAGCTGTGGCAAGAATGAGAATAAAAACCGCCCTTAGTAGAGTCCAGATGTTGGTTGGGTACATGGATGCCAAGTGCAGGCCACCCCATCCCCTCTTGGAGGAGCAAGGGCTTCCTGAGGGTAGAATTCCCCAGCTGTCAGGAGAGAGTAGAGTGACAGCTGTTGTCATTCATGATGTCAAGCTCTACTGGAGTATGATCTGCAGGACCTCATTTAACATTCACAAGTACTCTACAGACTGGAAAATGGGGCATGGTAATGGCTCTCCAAAACTGGCTGTGTCCTAACCCCCAGTACCAGTGAATATGTCACTATTTGGCAAAAGATGTGATTAAGTTATGGGCCTTAGGTGGGGAGATTGTCCTCTACTGTCTGATGGGCCCACTCTTGTCACATAAGTTCATCAAAGTGGAGGGCTGGCCCCAGCTGGCCCGAGAGATGCACCACTGCTGATTTAGAAGACTTGAGAAAGGCACTGCCAGCTGTGGGATGCTGGCAGCCTCTAAAGAAGGAAGTAGAAGCCCAGTCTCTCCCTGGCATCCCTAGAGGGAACCAGCCCTGTCAGCCTCACAGCACTGTAAATAAATGTGTGTTGCTTCAAACTACAGAGTTTGTGGTCATTTCTTTAGGATGGCAGTGGAAAACTAATGACTGAATTTTTCTTGTTTTATGGAATAGAAAAAAGCAGTCTCGGGTCAAGTGCATTTAGCCCCAGCCAGCCCCTCCAACAGCCTTCTCTTCCTGACCTCCAGGACCAACAAGCAAGGGCAAAATGCCTTGCTTAGCTGTGCTTCCTGCTGTGGCCCCTTTAAGAGCGTTAGGGGCGGAGCTTGTGAGTACTGTTGCCTGGGAGGCAGACCAGCCGTTTCAGACTCCTGAGTACTGTACCACCTCTGTGCCTCCTAGCCTTGGAGAGCCCAAGTGTCCCAGTGTGTCAGTGTCCCAGGCCAGCTGCATAGTGTACAACCAGACGGACTCCTGGTGCCTGAGAACGTGCCTTATGGGTGAGAGGCTCTGGAGTCCCACAAAGAAGCGCACCCTGTGGCTTCGTTAGCCTCAGAACAGGAGAAGGTAACTGGCAAACACTGAGAAAGTTTGCTTTATGTGTGCTTTGAGAGAATACTGAAAGTCTATTATAAATGCTTGTCCCCATAGATGAGAGCAGCTTGGGTTGAACAGGAACCAAAATCGGCCCTGGAGAGGGTGTGCTGGTAGGGGTAAAAATGAGAAATCAAGGAGAAAAGCCTGGGGGTGGAGTTCACCTGGCAAATGGGGTGCCCAGGGGTTGCTGTCTTGGCCGGATGGAAGCCAGCAAGGAGTGCCATCCCACCCCCAGGGCGCTGGAGCAGGAACCTGACTTTGCCCCTTAACTATGCGTCTTGCCTGAAGGCCTAGGATGTTTCCTTGGGACCTGTTTTTCAGGGTTATGAAAGTTAATACCCCTTTCAGAACCCAGGCCCAAACCCTGCAGCCCTGAAGCAACATTTAGCACATCGTTTGTCCTCTACGTTGTGGGGGGCACTCAGTGTTGGCACTAGAGACTCAGCAGCTAGCAGCTGCTGGTTTCAAGTTCAAAAATTAAGGTAACTGGATAAACCCTCCCCTTTTCCACTGCCATGCATAGCATTGATTTTTCTGTGCTTCATTGCATTGAATCCTTACATGAAACAAGGTACTGATATTCCTATTTGCTGTCTGAGGCAATGTGCCTAAGGACACAGCTGGTAATAGGTGATGCAGGAGCCTGAATCCAGCTCTAGAGCACTTTATGAGGCTAGTATATCAGGAGAGGAGCTCCTAAACTGAACTGATAGCATGCAAAAGCTTCGAGGTTATGCAATCATTTCATGAAGGATTATTGTTCTTACTGTAGCACTATCTGAAAAAGGTATCAGATCATTGTAATGTTAAAAAAATTGGCAACAACCTGTGCAATGTTTAATTTTTATAAACTAATGATACATTTAATTTAATTTAATTTAATTTATTTATTTGCGGAACCGGGGATTGAACTCAGGCCCTTGCACTTGCCAGGGAAGCGCTTATTCCACTGAGCCATCTCCCCAGCCCCCTGATACTTGTAATTATTTTCAGGCTTTAGGAGAGTGATAATGATGGTTGTGTGCTAATCCTAAATTTTACAATGAACTCTCAAGTATTTAGAGATTGAATTTTTGTTTTCCAGATAATACTCTGCTTGGAAACAGATAGCTGTCAAGCAAAGGAATCACTGGATATTTATACGTATAAAGCAAACTCTAGGACTTTCAAAAACAATGGTGAAAGAAAAGAAAAAAGCAGACAAAAAAGGAGATAAATCATCTCACTCTCCTTCATCTGATTATGCAGAGCTTTCCAAGCAAGATACCAACGTCCCTAAGCAAGAAATATCTCCAGTTGCCATCAAGCCAGTGGAAATACCAGTAGAGCCCCAAAGTGTTCAGGAGGATGAAGATACCACCCAGTACGAAGAGCCCCTTCTGACAAAACTCATAGTGGAAAGGTGACTTTCATGGGGTGTGATGAGATTTGGGTCCTGAGAACCGGGCTTTCTTGAAAGTGGGGTTTGCTGCAAGCAAGCATGTGATGTCTCACACATTTATGTTCATCACACAGTGTCTGCTCTGAAAATGACTCCTCTTCCCAGCTGTGACTCCCTGTGCTGGTTTTGTCCCACTGAGGTCTCTTGGAGTGAATCTTCAGTTTCCCATTTCTATTACTTTCACAGTCTTGGCAATCTCTTGCTGTGGTTTTACCTGCTGTTTCCCTAGGTGATGGTAAACATCTCTTATTTTTGTGCTTCTGGGGATTGAACTCAGGGTCTTGCACGCTAAGCAAGGGATGAGCCACACCCGCAGCACCCACCTCTCCTTAAAGTCTTTGAGACAGAATCTTGCAAAGTTGCCCAGGGTGGCCTCCAATCCTTCTGTCTCCACCTTCTGAGTATCTGGTATTACAGGCATACATCAACATGTCTGACAAAATGTATTTTCTTTAGCATAGTGCTCTCAGAATTTCAGATTCAAATTTTAAACTCTATCCGCAACTGGATTCCAAACTGCCCATGTACAAAAGTACCAGCCTGCTGAACTTACTAGGTCTGAGTTTGAGTCTTAGCTCTATAACTTCAGCCCAACCTGTGGCCCTTGCTGAGCCTTAGGTTCTTCACTGGGAGAAGTAAAAAAGACCATGCATCTCAGGAGGTTCCTGCAAATGTCACTATTTCTCTCCCCCATTAGCATTTCCAGTGTTCCCTACTGGAATAGTACCACCATTTTGCATATCTCCAGGCTTGAAACCTTAGAACTCCTCTCCTCCACTGAGTCAAGCTTCTCTTATTAGTCTTTGTATAGACTCTGTTCTTATTTGTTGAGGTGATAAGATTTATTTCTTAAAAGACTTCTGGGCTCCCAACTCCTCTCCCAGGCCTTCTTAAAGCATGGTTATTCATGCCTCTCCCTGTGTGAATGACCTACCATGTTGTAGCAGATCACCCCAATGCCTTGTAATTTATAGCTGTAAAGGATACCTTGTGTGGTTGTTGGGGTCCAGGTCCACAGTTGGATGTATGCTATGTGAGGCCTGGGGGTCTGCTTCCTAGGGGGCTCACTCCCATGGCTATTGGCAAGTGCCCTGGCCTCCAGATTTCATCACATGGGCTCTCTGAGTCCAAACATGGCAGCTGCCTTCCCCAGAGATGATCTAAGGGTGATCTAAAGGCAGAATCCAAAGCATAAATACATCTTCTGTAACATACTTTAAGACTTAGTCTTCAAAGTCACCCTCACGTTTTCCACAATACCCTAGTGGTTACATGGTCAGACCAAGTCCCACCTGCTCTTTAAAGCCCAGTTCTTCCTGTTAATTCTTGCTTAAAAGATTTTGCTTAGAACTTCTTTAAACTTTAAAGTCCTTCAATCATGCTCTGATCTCTCTCTTTTTTTATGAGCAGAATATATTTATTGAGGGAAAGAAAGCTCCTGGCCAAAAGAGGGACAGGAGGGGGACCTGAGTGGGTTATTTGCCTGGAAGCTGTCTCTTCCAGGGACTTTTATACTGTAAAACTATGTGGGGCTAAGGTGGAGAGAAAGGGAACTCGCTTAGGTGGGCAGGAGGTGGGACAAAACTGTGGTCAACCAATGAGATTACAAGCAACATTGCTCAGGTAAAATTGATTAAGTCCAGGACCAAATGGGGAAGGGAGTCACCTAGCAAGGGGGCATGAATGTAAAACAGGACCTTATCTGGTAGCCATCAGATAAGGATTCTTTTTGGCTTTCTTAGGGTAATGATCAGATGCTATTCTTTAGGGAGGTTAGCATTTATTTGCTTTAGGTCTGGCTCACAGCAAAAGCATCAGTCCCTCCCACAGTTGTAAGGTATCTTGTCTTTTGTGCTATCTCCTTCAAGGGCCTGGCCCTGTCTGACTGCCTATAATATATCTATCTAATTTGGCTACCTGCAATATTCCCCCCTCTGAAGAAGTAACCTGAACTGCTGTGAGGGAAGCATGGACGATGACCGCTCTAGATTTTTCAGGCTGAAAGGAGTCGTAGTTGTTTACTGGCAGTCAGATATATTCTTTAGAGATTCTGTCTAAAGGCCCAATAGATGACAGGCATTTTCCTCCTGGATGGATGTATAGCTTTGAGTCTGGAGGAGACAAAACCAAAGAAATTATTGCACATGTATGGGTCAAATAATATCAGCAAGATAACTGTGAATAGTCAAAATTTTAACCAAGTAAACAGTAATTTCTTCCCATAAGAATGATATGGGATCCAGGGGACCTCAGCATTTAAAAACACTACAAATTTTTGTAGGTCAATTGGCAGAGACCTCTTAAATGTGAGGTTAAATCCCTTTTTTAATCTTTCATGGCCATTGCATATTGTCTCAAACAAACTGGGCTTTTATATCTCACCAACTACATTATTACTAGGGGTACATGAATTGCCAGAAATAAGGAAAACACTGAGTACTCTCTAGTTTGTAAGTGAGGCACTTTGGACATTTTTCCTTGAAATGTCCCTTTTCTCTGTCTATATCCAGGGAAGCATGACTTTTCCCCTGTTTTCCTACTGGCCTTCGTTTCCATACGATGCTAGTATCACTATTTTTATTTTTTGTCTATAATTTCATTTTGTATCCTTTTAATCTCAACTCAGACAAATTTATTCTTGCAAACTCTTCTAACTTTTGCAGCTTGTGTCAGATATCTGGGGCCCGCTGAGCAACATGTAACTTCTTAGTTTTAAGGCCTTAATATATGTCTCTATAGACAAAATCTGCTGGATACCAGTAAAGGGAATCTTCATTTAGCATATTCGCTATAGGTTTTACCTGTATGATTACATGAGTTTTGCTATCTTCTAAGAAAGAACAAATTTTCTGAGAAATTGGAGCATATATAATCACAGCATGAACATTTGAGCTACCATGTACATTCTAAACTTTTTTGAGACCTAGCAATAGTAACTCATTAGCTCTTAGACCCATATATTCATGGAGTCTGACAGTTTGTTATAAGTCTCTCTAGCTGTAGTTAAGAGACATAACACCTGTATTAACTATGAGCATGAAATAACTTATACACTTATGAAATACACAGCATTCAGTCAGATTAAACCAATGAAATACTTTTTAAGTCCTTGTACATGAACAACAATATATATTACATTTGCAAAAACTAGTCTAAGCATAATTATGATTAGTTATCAACCTGAATATATTGTAGTATCTCAGTTACAGTTACAGCTAAAGCAAGATGTCTTCTAAAGTCTTTTTATTGAGGTATGATGACAGGAAGGAACGTCAGGGCTGGAGAAGGACAAAGAGACCTGTGCCAATATCCAGCAATAGGCTGGGTTTCCCTCTAGTCATGATTACTCCCAGGGGAAGGGCTCCTCCCTGAGGATGACAGGTAGAGATAACAGTCCAGCCAGAGGGAGGAGGCAGGCCCCGGGCCCTTCAGTCCTACTGGAGAAGCTGAGTCTGAGGTCTGGGGCCTCCAACTCAGAGTGCAGTCTCACTTCTAGTGGCTGCCCTGGCAATCAGGGCATGGCTTGTGGGCCTCATAAGGCAGTCCCTCTTATGTTGGCCTGGCTTCTGAGAGCATTAGTAGATGTACCTCATCATCTTTTTTTCCCCATAATTTTATTGAGAAACAAATAGCAATGAGACAGTTTCAAACCAACTTGGTAGGACAGTTTCAATAATTAACACATTGCATACATTCTTCCTAGTGGTTAATTGCTATACAAGATGCAGACATG